TTCAAAAAAAAAAAAGAAATATAACTGTGAAACTACTCCTAAACATAAATATCCCACTGGAAAAAGATGTCAACCTGCAGTTTCTCTTGGAGCTTTTGCTAGCTTAGTTAAGGGCTACTTGTGGAAAGAAGTCACTCCAAGGAAGCTGTGACCCTCTTATCATTTTACCTATGGAGCTTCGGCCTGTCAGGGACAATTGCCTCATAAACGGATAGGTCCCAATACCCCATGTCTTAAGTACTACAACCAGGGAGGAAACAGGCTGTGGGCCCACAGGGGAGTGGCAAAGGGGTTAAAATGAATAACTCAAACATTTATTATGTGTCCTCAATAGCATCAGGCAATTTCCATAACTCTTTATCTTGACCATAAGCCTATGAAGTCATTTCAGCCTTTTGCAGATGAGAAACTTAAGGCTCCATCTAACTGCAAACCATTCTCAGTTTCAAGATGATTTACCTCTGCCTCCATTGTCTAGATGCTCTTATTCATCCTTCAAGGTCTAACTCATGTACCACCTCCTCCAGGAAGCTTTTCCTGGTGTTCCTGGTCTGGTTTGCTACCCTTTTTTGGTTTTCTAAAACTGTCTGTACTTACTTATATCTTGCATTTGTTACGCTGTATCGCCGTATTTGTTTATCCCCCTGTCTTTCCTCTAAACAAAAAGGAAAAAAACCAGGTCCAGTTTTGTTTCTCCAACTCTGAGTATCTGGCACTGCCCAGGTAGTAACTGGCAAAGTCTCAATTCGAATTGTCAATCTGAAACCCCCACTTTCCTCTGCGTTTGCTGTCAAGGACAGCAGAGATGATTGGAGAGCCATCTGCACCAAGAGTACAAGATGACTCAATTCTAAGTGATCTCAAGCTGAAAGTTCATCTGAAGGAGAGAAAAGAGGGCAGCACTCAAGAACTAAAGCCAAAAAATCCAAGACTCTTTTCAGATGGCCACTAAATGGAAAGAGCAGTTTTAGACTCTTCCAAGGCCCTGGGGGCTCTGACATTTAACGAGGCTAATGTATACCTTGAGTCTGTTACTAAGATAAAGTGTGACAGGTGAGTTAGGAGCCAGCCCTGACTCAATGGACTAGAAGCCATAAACTCCACTGGGAAGGCAGCTGTCCTTCCCCACGACCAAGCTATCTGAAGGAAACTGACTTTCCCTTTTTCCTTAGGCTTGCCCAAAACAGACCAGATGACCCTGCAACTTTCCTTCTTATTCTGCTTTAAACAGATAGAAAGATCGCGCCTTCTATTTCTTTACCCCCAGGGTCAAGAACCAAAGCCTGACACCAGGCCTAGGCCAAGGGGACAGACAAGAGCAAGAGTT